GTGAATGCTAGTTGTTTCTGACTTAGCTCTTAAAGCAGTTAAATAGATTTTTATCATTAGTTATATGCTTATATCCAATAGACTTATACAGATTGTACTTACACAGATACCACATTTATCTGTTAGATAGGAATTGCAGCCCCCTTCAGGAATATAGCAAGTTTTATTTGTTATTGCTCACTTTGGGACTTCCCCGAAGTTTCAACAAGCTGAGGATGCTTTCAGTATTTGTTTTGTTTTACGCAAAAAATACAGTGAGAACTGTATTTATTATTGATTAGACACGCCACTATCATGTTGTTTGCATGAGTTTATAGTCGTTAGAACCAATGCATATAAAGCTAAACAAAACTAAGCAAACATTTTAGACCAAACAAACAGAATGACTTCTTGTATAGTGAACCTTCTCACCAGATCTGCTGGAAGGAAAGGATGGGGACGGCACTGTGCGTGCTGGGATACCAGTGGGATGGCCAAGGCTTCCTAAGACCTTCCTGAGAGATCAATATCTGCTAATGGTACAGATTTCTGCAAGTTCTGAAAGTTCTCCTTGTCGCAGTGCAAGATCTATTTAAAGTGCTGTTAAGTCAATTAGGTCCTTGGTTAAAATATTAATCTTTTTGCTCGGCATTCCTGAGTTATACTTACAAACCGTATGCCAGTGTGTGATACCATAAAAGCAGTGATAGGGCAGAAAAACTGTTACTTTCTTACGCAGCATCTGCAAAACATATTCAGCTCTCATGTGTCCCTGACCCAATGGCTGTGTTTTGCATTGGAAAACCTCCTCCCTAATTTTTGTAAACTGATTACCCAATAGCATGATTGCGTTGTCCCTACCAAATCTTAGCCTTTCTTCAGTGAATTCCACACCCCATTTCCATTTAAAACCTCCTTGGGGTCCAGTGTGAGTTTTCTGCTTGCTACAGCCCAAAGGCAGTAACTGCAGAACCACCCTGACTTGGACTGGATGTCTTTTCCCTTTGGGTTACTTATAAATCTCCAAGGAACGGACAACTTTCTGGTCTTTACAGACAAATGCATTTAAAAAAAGCCCATAAACTGTGTTCAGAAAACACAGTGAACCTAGACTATCTGTGCCCAGACACCTGATCACATTAGTAATGAGACAGGCAGCATGGCACGGCTGTCAGCCTCTCTTCGTGGCACATTCACAATTGGCACGCCACCTCCAGGGGTACCAAATTCTGTATCCTCTCCCGTAGCAGCCAGTGACCCTTTCTAAATGGGGTTGATTGGTGTGATTAGGATATAACATCTGCGTGGTGCAACATATTGACGTGAGGTAAGAGGTTTCTTTGGGCAGCAGCAGAATGCTTCAACATAATTCGGAGGAAGCTGTATCAGGCGGCAACTGAAGGCATGTATTACGGTGCAAAGAGGATGATCAACAAACTAAATTAAATAGAAACGTGTGCCCTTTCTCTTTTACTTCCACACCAAAGACAGAAAGACTTACAGAAATCAGAACTATTGCAGCATCATTACCTGTCTCGCCATATTTTGCAAGAAACCTTTTTTTTTTTTCTCCCCCAGAGATGTCTGCTCATTAACCTTTGCTGGAAGGGAAGGGAAACAAAGTGCAATAAAAGCACAGCAAAACTCAGGCCAGACATTTGGAAGAAAAAACCCAATCCATTTTCTGAAATTATTCTGAATTTCCCTCAATTCAGGGGACTGTATCTTGGCTTTACAACAGTTTTGTACTGTAAAATGTATTATTCTTACATTCACAGCACCAGCAGAATCGGAGTCGGGATGTTTCAAACCTTACAAGTGACAACGAAGCACACCTTTCCTTTACTTCTAGACCAAGTTTGAAAACTCTTCAGGAAAATCTTACTGTTAGTTACAGAGCCTAGAACTCAGAGTCACTCTAAAGATATCAGTGAATTTTTCAGCAACATTTAAGATGACCCTTGTTGTGTGTATATATATATCTACGTGTATATGTAAATTACAAATATGTGTATGCATGTGTGCATATGATCTGTTTATGTACGAAAATGCAGCTGCCGTGCAAACTGACTCCTAACGTATCAGCTGAATTTATCTTAACACACTCTGGCAGATGTCCCAATTGCTGCATTACAGAAAATTAGTACTGTGCATGTTCTGATCTATTAGGCTGGTGATGGATTCATAGGCAGAAATGCCCATGTGTACGGTGAAAAACATGGAAATAAATGTTTGTTCAATTTTCAGCAGGCATTTGGAGCTCAGAGACCCAGCAAATGTAATGCCAACCAATGCCTGTCTTGAACTGAGTTCACCTGAAGTAAAGATGTACAATGTCTGATTTTTACCACCAAGAGAACTGCCACAAAAATCACATTTTTGCCATTAGAAAATACAAAACATTCTGCAGTTCTGCCTCAGGCTCTTGGAAACTCAGATACTTGAAAACCAGTGTTTTGGGTGGGTGAGGAACATTCTACAGAACAGCTTTTGCTAAGTGGGGATGGGCCCTAAGAGTGCTTGAAAAAAGCATGTGGATACTGAAAATCCAGGATTAAAACTACAACTTCATCATACCCATTGCAAGGGTACAGGCCTCTCAAATCAAGGCTGGCAGAAGCGAAATAGCCTGGATTCAGGAGAGACTGAGGAGATCCGGGTTGTAGGGACCTTCTATACTTCAGTCCTCTCTCCAAAACTCACAGACTCCTGACTGACATCGTTCCTTCTGCAGGCTTGCCAGGGGCTCTTTCCCCAGGATCCGTCTGGCCGTACTGAACCCTATCACCCCATGTGTTACCCCATCCACAGAAATCAATACACCTCTCCCACTTCCCTGAGTCCCGCAGAGCTCAGTCATTTAACCAAAGCTTTATCCAACTGGTGGATACCTCTGTCCTTGAAGGAATGTACCTAAAGTCCGACAGCACAAATAGTAGGCCTAGAGCCATGACTGGCTTTTGGAGTCTTTTGGTCTCTTCCAGATTCAGCTTGACAGTGCTTTAATTCTTTTTTGAAATATCCCCAAGTTAAACCCTTAATTATAATGTAATCTAAGATCTTCAGACTTTCTCCCCCCCACCCCTTGCCCAGGTTTTTAAGTATGACATTAGCTAAAAATACGCTTCTGGTGCGTCCCTTTTGTGATCTAACCAGGAAGGGAATGCAAGAGAAATTGCATTTTTGTAATTATGCATTAAAAGATTACTTATATGCATATTTAAGGTCTAATTTTAGCAACTTGCAGAACTTCTAGGGGAATTCTAATATAGTAAACCAATCAGCATGATCAGGAGACAGCACAATTAAGCTAGTAGTAACCCACACCACCTAAATGTACTTAAAGCAAAAATGGGCTATGCATAAAAGTAGAAAAAAACCAAACAAATTGCTTAAGCAGCCTGTGGGTTGAATGAAACAAAGTTGCTATTGCCAGAAATGCATTGACTCTGCCATGTCACAGGAACCCTGCGTTCCAAAACAAAATCAAAATCCACCTTGCATTGCAGCACAAAGGCAGCCAGTGCTGGGCCCTGGGGAAGCACACTGCAAAGCAGGAGGCCTCTGTGAGAAATACCTTTCACTGATCCTAGACAGTTCATTCTGTGGAGTGTTCCCAGGTGATTTCTAACTGCTGCGGTGATGAACAGGCTGAAAGGCAATATCTCTGATATAAAAAACAGAAGAAAAGAGAGCAACTAAACAAAGGCTGCTCAAGTCGCTGACACAAATACCCCAAAAAATGTAACCGTAACAGCAGCAAATTGTTTGGAATGGACATAAAAGGCAAGTTTCAGAGCTGAAGTCAATATCTAGCTGAGAAAGAGATCATGAGAAGATGTTTCAATTGGGTAGATTCACCTCTGCCTCCCTACTGCATAGTTGGACAGTCCTCCAGAGCATTTGGAAATGTAGCGACTGCTGTCAGGAAACAGTCTGTTCTCACATTTTTATGCCTCCCACTAGAGCTGATCTGTGATCTGAGGAGAAGAGATTTATCCTCTACAGTGAAAAACATTGCAATAACATATCTCACTAGGAGAACGTCTACCTAGAACAATGTTAACTTGGTTTGTGCTTTGAGGAAGATAGAAATGGAGGTACTTTGGCAACAGGGTGTGGGACGGGAGGAGGTGGGAGAAGCACACACGCATGCTTTCAGTACAAAGCTTCCTGATGGTGAACCGCATGGAGCAGAACTACAGAAATTCCAGGATCTAGTCTTTCTCTTTACTGACAAACATTGTTCCTAAAAAAATGGTACCTAAACAAATGCTAGAGAAGAGTCTAGATTCTTCACATCTTTCAGATAAATGGAACCTTGCCAAATGAGAAGCAAATGGTAGAATAGTGCAGCAGTGACAAAAGCTCTGATCTGACAGTCAGGGCATACTGCTGTACTCATGCAGGGCCTCAATGACTTTAACAAGTCTCCACAGACGCAGAGCAGTCCCTTTGTACGCTATCAGCTACGACACCAGGACCTAATTCAGTGTTCAGCTCTACACCCCCATCGTGTTGGCAATAATTCAGAGTTGGGGAGAAAACTTTTAAAGAAAAAAAAAAAAAAAAAAAAAAAAAAAGGCAGCATTTTAAACCTCTCTAATTTAATGTTAGCTTTTTATGTGTCTAACATCAAAGCATTTTTTCACTCCTATTTAATCAAAAATAATCACTAAGATTACTACAGTAATTTATGTTGGAGATTATTGAAATGAGTGTTTTATTAAAATCTGCTTTTATTAATAAAACACATACTGGCTAAGGAATCATGTGAGTCTGCTATTAGAGACTATTAACTGGGAACTGGGAGTTAATCATAACAGTCATGCTGCCAGGTCCTTTGACAGCAACACATACTGGGTTTGTTTCTGCTTTTACTTTTACTAGCATATTCAAGTCAATTAGTTACCCTAGCACAGGAGCGGTCAGAGTAACTCCTGTAAAATAGGGAAAGGAAACAAAGGTACATACGTCTCAGTAGCTTTGAACAAAGGAAGGGTAATCAGAAAGAGACTCACCAGCCTGATTAGTTGTGATGCTGACAGCAGCAAATTGTCTGGAAAGCGTACTCAAGTCAGATACCCCGTTAACTGCATCAATCTCAAAAGTGTAATTAGTATGTGCCAAAAGGTCCACTACTGTCACCGTGGTGTTGGTGAGTCCAGTCTGACGGGGTAAGAATCGCACGTTGTCACTACATGGCTCACACATCTTGATGTTTCCTCCACATTTTTTGCAAATGATGTTGAAAGTGACATCTTTCCGACCTCCAGTGTCAAGAGGCCAGCTCCAGTCCAGGATAACGGACGTCTCATTGATGTTAGAGATAACGTTCCTTGGAGCAGATGGTGGTCCTATAAAAGGAGACAGGAAATCGGAAGGATGAGATTTGCTGTAGTGCTCTAAGATGGCAGTAACAAGGGCGCAAAAATACAAAAGTCAAAAACATAAATAACCAAACTCGTCTAGTTATTTCCTGTAGAGACTCCTGAAATATTTCACTGGACTACAGACCTAGACTATCACGGACCATGTTTTCTTATAGACAGACAGTACCCTCAGGGCGCAGTTCAGGATTGAGGGCTGAAAATATTGGTAGCAATTTAAAAATCCTAGCTCTTCTTCTCGAGTCTGACACAGAACAAGAAGTAGAAAACGAAAACAGAAAGACATAAGCCTAGCCCACCAAGTTTTGGTAGCCTGTCCAACATGTAAGAAGACATAGGAGGCAGTGGATGGCTGACTGCAATGGGACGTGAGAGGAAGCAAGCAAGCTGCTGAGATACAGATGGAGGAGCAAGAATGACAGCCCCGAGCATAATGATGTTACTCACTGGTGCAAGCCATGGATGGAGGGTCTTTCTCAGAGCGAAAGTAATTCTTTTCACACCTGCAGTTCAGAGACGCATCTTCGTAGGTAGAGCTGTGAGGTGGACATTTGGCACACTTCACGTTGCCGGCAGAGGCTTTGTAGAACCCAGGTCGACAAGCTGCAAAATAACAGGAGTATAGTTTGAAATTCCATGGACATGTCCTTGATTTTAACATGTGACTTTGCTACTGCTCTAGGACCTATCCATATGTAGATCACATTTCGCAGATGTTTATGGTCTAAAACCACAGGTTTTTCTCATAATGAGAAAGTTGATGGAAATGAAACCACTTGGTAGAATGGAGCTTTTCATCCATCAACTTGGATTTGCATTTAATTTTGCCTGGAAAACAAAACAGTGCATTGCACCACTAAGAAGAAATATTTTCTATGTTGCATTTTGAGAACTCCACTTATTTTTCTTCTCTTCTGGTTAATTTAGCAAAACATTGGTCCTTTATCCTCTCTCTGCTGCCAAGGTTTGCTTACAAGGGCATGCTAATTGTAAAGTATGTCTCTTCAGTTCAGCAGTACTAAGCAAGCCAAAATCAAGAAAATAACCTGAACAGTGGAAGATCTATTCCATTTCTGAAGGACCATGCATTAGGCTCAATGAGCTGCTTCTGATACTATCAGGAACTCGCATGGTCTGTACAAGGAAGATGTTTTTTACATTAACCCAGTCCTCTAGGGATGGTGCTTGAACCCACTAAAGCTGCTTCTGAAAAACTCTGGGTGGTGATGTTTCATTAACACTGGCACACTCCCTCCTTTTTGACTCCTGTTGCATTTTAGACTGATTCAGGACCACGTTTGCATCAGAAAAAAACAGCCTTTGAAGCAGGTTACAGAAATGAACAATTTAGCAAAGAACTTTTTATGAAAAACCCACGCAGTGAAATAACACTCTTGACTTCTTTCTACCAAGATGATATCATCATCTGAAAATAAAATAAAATAAAAATAAATAAAAAAAAAAAAGACCAAAATCGGATAAGAATCAGCAGACATTGCTGTTCAGCTGCTGCTTCCCCCCATCCTTCTCCAAATGGAATTTACCAAGTAAAAACATTCTGGCTGACACGGGTCACCTGCAGGTTTGTACTCATACCTACAACAACCATACACAAACAGACAACGTAACAAAAGGGAGCGCATCTTAAACCCCATTCACCTTTTGCTGCATTTTGGTTCCACAGCAAACACTGCCTAACGCACAAGCACACTAGGAAAATCCCAATACATTCTCATTACAAATATAATGTAAAAAAAGGACAAAGAAAAACACGACTTCTTTTTGTGTCTGGAGCCCAAACAGTTAAGCTTCGATAAAATTGCCCAGGACCTGTCACTGAATTAAATGCTAATTTGAAGCCAAAAGAATGGGTTCACCAGTCTTAGCATAAGCCTAAACAGGGGCACACTTTTCGGTTTTGCTTATGGAGATGAACTGATTGATAAACATAGTATAAAATCCAAGATACAAGACTATATGGTCTTTTGTGTCCATTCATGCACTGCCCAAACAAAAAAGTGTTTGGCTGGGCAGCCTGACGTGGAAAAAGAAGTCAGAATAAAAATCCCAGCATCTTTGTAAGTGATGGAGGAGAGAGGGAACTGCAGCATTAAATTGGACGTTCAGCTTCCACATTATTGTCCATAACCAAATCCTAACGGAAGTGCTGGGTTAGGCAAATCTGTTGATTAGTTCCTGGTGCCAAACACCTGAGTGAAACGTCCTGGCAAGCAGAGAGAAAGCAAACCCCTGTACAGTAGTAGGTCCTATTCTGAAACATCTTAATAAAGGAAACCCTCCTCACACTGCATTGAACAGTGCGAGAAGCATGAAACATTTCATGAGGAAGCACTAATCTCAGCCACTCTTCAGCACTTCACAGCCCTTGCAAACCAAGGCGCCTGGCTGCAGCTGCTACCTCCGACTTCCATGCTAGTAAAGCCACTGGGAAAGACACCTCCTGCTCCAAGTCCTCTCCTGCAAGCCCTGAGGAAACAGTCCTGGGTTTGAGCCTCTGAGGCGTGGGCCCAACAGGCAATCTGTGAAAGCAGAATGGCTAAAAGTGACCTTGTGGCGAAGCTCACAGAGCCTCACGCCAGCCTGCCTGACCTGGCACAGCCATCCTCCCTCAGCCAGCCGCCTTGTGTTTCCATCTCCTCAAATGCTGCAAGGCTGTTTGGGGATTTATGTTTAACATGAGGAAATAAAGGAAACCTCAGCTCCTTGTAAACATCTCCACTAGGAGAAAATGCAGCAGGAAACAGGCTTTTTTGGTTTTGTTGTTCTTGTTGTTGCAGCTTTTTCAGACTCAAATCCCCTTCCCTCCCAAATACTGCCCCATGATACATGTGCCGTACCTAGAGCAAGCCTCTTTGGCCTCCCTCTGGCTGGCAGGGGAGCTTCAAATGATTTTACTGTCTCTGGCCCCAGCACAACCATTCCTGGCACTAAGACAACGAGCCAGGATGCCAATACTGCTCTTACCAGCACTAGTAACTAAACAAACAGATTAAGAAACAAACATCACACTACATCTGTTCGGAGATTTACACAGTGCTTTCACCAAACCTTCCCATGGAAGCTCACTGCCAGGAATTAAACTCAAATGGTTTTGCTGAACCCTATCTACTCAGCTTATAATTTGTATATTTATGGGCGGGTGTACGCAAGACCAAGATGTATTTATGAATAGATACAGTATAATTTTTTATTTTTTAATAAGTTTAATGTAAGGATTGGAAAAAGACCAATAACCTAAACCTGAACCTTTGTCAAATGGTTGGTCTTTCTATAAGACATAATTTCCACTGCTGTTAAGCATAATTTTTTCATAGCATGGTAACCCATGAGCATTCATTTACAGCACGGAACTACAGTAAGACTGCTTATTTGGGACACTTTCAAAGCACCTACCACCAACATTTTAATACGACAATGAATTTGACGTAAGTAAACAAGCTTGTGTAAGAAGTGGACAGATTTTGTGGGGTGAGGAAGAGAAAGGAAGGAATCAAACTGCTCCATTAATAAATCTCTTTAATCCCTCAGGTGGAAAACTTATAGCCCTCATTTAAGAAAAGGTGGTGGTGGTGTGGGGCCGGAGAAAAAAGGAAGCAGAAAGAGGAGCATGCAGGCAGCCCCCTGGTAAAACAAGATCAGACTTTTTCTTTTCCAGAGGGAGAGGGATTTCATCATTTTGCACTTCTGCTATGGCAGTACAGAGTGAGCGGTCGGGGCGGGGGGGTGAGCCGGTCAGATGCCTGCTGCCCCGGTACGCCCTAGCGAGGGCATCCCAGTCTCGTGTCTTCCCCTCAGGCTGTCTGGCGCTTTCTGTCTTTGTCTGTCAGACCAATTTAAGATTATTCACAACTGCAGCCCAAAGGAGGAAAAAAAATGCAATTATACTTGAAATTGAAGCTTGGAAAGGGGGGGGGTGTGCCAATAGAAAATGTTGCCAATGTACTTACTATTATTATTCTTTTCCTAGTCATTTTTAAATTCTGATATATCAAGAGAAAAAAATGAAGCCTTTACTTCAAAAGACATTCATTTTTTTAATGTCAGAAAAATTGGATTACGTGAACTGATGGAAGAAAGTTTGGCTTTTTGAGGTGAATACCATGGCTTTGGTTTCAGTCAGGTTGAAAATAAAAGGACTAGCACAGGAAGTCTTCACAGAATCTGTAATTTCATCATGGCAACCAGCTGCGAACAGCACTTGCTGCTTCTCAACATTTTCTTCCAAAAGCTAAGGAATTTTCCTTTCCCTTACAAGGGGGAACGATGCGAGAGGAAGTAGATGCAATGGGCTGGGAAGAAAAACCTCTCCGCAAACTAAGAGTGAGTAAGGGAAACCTTGAGAGTTTTGACATACATGATATAAACTGTACAGCAAGGCTGTCTGGGTTTGCTTTTTAAGAAGGTCTCCTCAAGTCTGATGCCAATATCTGTTGACCTTGGTAACTCCTGTGATAACTCCAACCTGAAATATTATTTTAAAACTGTATGCAGTCTAATTTCAATCTCTCTTATCTGAGTGTGAGCCATGCTAACTTTATTGAAGTCACCTACTGGTAAGAGTTTCAGGACTGCAGTTGTCCTCTGTAGGGAAATGAATTTCCTTAAGCTATAACTGATGAATCTGTCTCAGAGAGCAGGAAAAATTATTTCAGTGAAAGAAAAACAAACGCATGTAGCAATCTACAGTAGTTACTGCTTAAAGAAATGTGACTGTCTTTTCAACAGCAAAGTGAATTTTGCCTCTGTTTGACTAATCTGTTGAGATGAAAACATGGTCCTAATTAAGGGTTAAATGATTCATTTCAATTTGAATTAATTTTAAATTAAAATATAAAGCTGTTAGTAAACAGGAGCATTTCAGTATTCAAACCCTGCAGCCCCCTATACACAGAGCAATATCACCAATTCCCAGCTGTAAATACCAACTAACAACCTGAGCCCACGCTGCCTGAGCAGATGACTTCCCAGCCTGGTACCCCAGGCCTGACAGGGCCCATTTCCCTGCACAAGGTCAAAGCAACTCTTTATTTGCAAAATCAGCCGCACTCCCTGGTCCTACAGGAACTCTGCTTTTTGTGCTCTGAATAGAGGTGCGATGCTTCGAGGCAAGGCTCAAGCAGCACAAGGCACTGGAAGCAGCTATACGCAGCCATGAAACCGGGCGTTCAACAGGCAGCATGCACCAAGCCATCGAGTGTTTCCTTCCTTTGTTCCTCTGCTGTTCAGTGAAACAGCCCGGGGGCGGAATGCCACTGTGGCATTAAACATCAGCATTTAGAAAAGTAGGGAATTCAACCATAAACCTATACAGCTCACAGATACCTTAACATTTCCCCATCACGGGATGACAGCAACCCTGGGACAAGCGTCCTGTCCCTGTCCCCTGCAGAGAGGACAGGGAAGCATCCCCCATGCGTGTGGTCTGTGTTAGAGGGGCTTTGCAAACCGCATCCGCTGTCACCTGTGGAAAAGGTATGCCAATGAGTAGCAGCGGAGGTCCTTATGCTGGACCTGAAGCCACAGGATGACCTTTGGCTGTGCAGCTGCGCTGGGAAGTGAACACTACCAGCTGGTTCACCTCG